AGTTCTGGGACTCTGAGGTTGAAGTGGGTGTGAGGAAGCCCAGCAGAGGTGAACTGTGGGTATCAGGAGGGTTCCTCAGGGGACAGGGTTGTCAGCTGATCTAATTTTGGTGATGACTTACAAAGAGAGGCAGTGGGTGTGGAAGCAGGCGCCCTGGGAGAGTGTGTGAGGTGAGGAGCGTTAGGACAGCGGTGGAACCCGGGGCCAGATTCCTCCCGCTGTTCACCTGGGTGTCAGCCGTTCCACCTGCTGACTGGGGAGAAGGGCCCCAGGCCCGGAGTCCCTGTAGGTCTCCTTCCTTCTGTTCCCCGTGTCAGGGCCACTGCCTTGCTCCTTGCAGGGGGCAGCCTGTCCCCAGAGCCCCCAGAATGCAGAATGAGTGGCTCCCCCTGCAGTTGTGCACATGTAATGCTGCCGGGGTCCCCAGCAGCCAGGCGGCCCCCCTGGGCTCTACATCTTCCCTCTTGCAGGTGTGGGCTCTGCCCCTGCAGTGCGCATCACAGGCCCGGAGGAGGACGGGGTCCGCGTGGTGTGCACGGCCTCGGGGTGGTTCCCGAAGCCCCAGGTGCAGTGGAGAGACCTCCATGGAGGGAAGTTCCTGGCGTTCTCTGAGGCCCACGCCCAGGATGCTGAAGGGCTGTTCAGTGTGGAGGCCACTCTGGTGGTGAGGGACAGCTCTGTGGGGAATGTGACCTGCTCCCTCCTCAACCCTGTCCTGGGCCAGGAGAAGGCCATGGCCATTTTCATCCCAGGTCAGCGCTGCTCCCAGCTTCCGGCAGGGCGGGAGGAGGCCCGGGCATTCCTGAGCGTGCCAGGCTGGGCCGCCCCGGGCTGTGGCCCTGACGGGGTCTGTGGCTGGGCGGCAGCGCCCTTCTTCCCCCAGGCGTCTCCCTGGAAGCTGGCTTTCTTGGTGAGCCTGACTGTGCTGATGATCCTGCTCCTTGGGGCTGGATGTTACACCAGGAGAGAACATTCCACAAAGTTGCAGGAGGTTGCGAAAAAGAAGAGTCTGTGCCTGGATAAGGAGCAGGACCAGCGGGAAAAGGAGGAGGCGCAGAAGGAGATCGGTAAGACAGGACAGCGGCCACGGCTGGCGAGGGTGGCAGCCTGTGCTGAGAGGGCCAAGGTGACTGCAGGGCCGAGTCCTGGGCTCCAGCATTCCAGGGAAACCCAGGCCCGGAGCGGGTGGCTGGGGAGATGCAGGGAGGATGGCCGGAGCCGTGGAGGCTCGGACGTGTCTGGAGTGGGAACGTCTTCCAGGTCACATACAGAGAGGTGGTTTTTGTGGGTTCTTTTTCTCAGGGATGGGAGTTCATGCTTTTTTTTTCACTCTCTTTCAGGTGAACTCCAGGCCCAACTTGGTGAGTCCTGCTTTCCCTCCTGAGCTCTGTGCATCCCCGTCGTAGGAGACCTTCTGGTTGTCAGCTCACCTGTTTCCTGTACGTTGCCTTTCAGCCTGGAGGAAGTCAGTGTACCTGGCTGGTGAGTGACTCTCCAGATGTGCTTGGGTCTCCTTTCCTGCCTGTGCCAGGGCACCACTGTCCTTGTTTCTGTCTAGACACCAACATGTGGACCCCCTCCCCTGGGGTGGACGTGGAAGCTGGTGGGAGGCAGAACGCAGCTCCAGGGGTCTCCCCGATCTGGGCTGCTCTTTCCCACCCAGTGCTTGCGAGCCTGGCTGTGACGGTGACCCCTGGGGCCTGCCATGCACCCGGGGACTTATTCCAACCCTGACTGACCCGCTATACGGATAGTTTCAAGCCTTGAATGCATCTGGTTTTCAGTCAGTACCTGGAAGCCAAAACCATGTGCACTGAGATGTCATTAAAGGAGCTATAAATGAAGGGAGTGATTAAGTTTAGGAGTGTGACTT